CTATTACTGATTTTGTCTCTCCTCTATACGCTTCTCATAATCCCAATTCTAATGCTACTTTGTAAAACTGCTTGCCATTTCTTAGATACTACAACTGGTTTGATGAATATAATCAATAATTCATATAAAAAGGGTCATTGATACTGAAAAGGCTGTAAAACACAGGGATAATATAGTGAACTCTTACCATTACAGAAACTAGAGGCTTGAAGAGAGTGTCCAAAGGCCACCTGTAGAAGCGACGAATGGGGTTGTAACGAGCTTCATAAAACCCTGGCACTGCGCGTGGTTCATTCGGGGACAGAATCTGTTCAAAGAGAGAAGCAGAGATATTTCACATTACTCATAGAAAACAAAATCCTGTGAAGTTCAAGATGGATAATTTGCAGGAAGGAAAGGGAAGCTACAAAAATAAAGATAGGAGAGAAAAACAATAGAAGAGTAAATAATTTTATAGCAATACAAAAATCCTCTTGCAACAACTGGTGACTCAAAGATTTGCAATGTACAATGGTTTGATTATGAATGTACTTTTTAAATACTGAAAGTTACCTACTAGGATCGCAGATACTTTGAAGTTAAATGTTCTTGAGGCTCATTTCATCTATCAAGAACCCCTTGCTTTAAAAACCACATAGGACATATGTGGACATGAGGTACAATATCATGACAGTCCACTGAATACTACTTAAGAATCTATCTGAAGATTTGACTTGAAAAAAAATCTCATCCAGCAAAATAGTGGACTGCAATTCTCTCTCTAGTAATCCACAGTTATATGGTTAAAGACAAGAGTGCACAATTCCCAGCCTCAGCCCACAATGTGGGAAGTATAATCACTGAGACCCAATCAGTATGCAGGCCCTCTAGAAATACAAATACAAAGACTTAATTAGATCTGAAGTGAAATAATAATACTGACCTGATCTTTTAACCACTGTTTGCGATAAGCCCTATCAGCATCTGTCATGCCTGCTATACGTGTCCTTTCATTCTTGAAGGGTCCCTCAATGGGGAAAGCCTTCACTCCGCCAGTGTCTGCAAACCAAAAGGATAATGAAATAAAAACTATAATGCCAGTAAAACATAATTTAAAACATAAGAAACAAGGGAAGAAACACGTAATATTAGGCATAAGTATTATATATAAATAATGGTTATCAAATGTATAGACACAAGTGGATATATACAATAAGGGATGTAGAAGACAGGCACCCTAACACTAAAAATTGAGGTAAAACTGCAAGATGAAGATGAAGATGGAAAAAGAAGAGAAAGAGAAGAAATAAAAAGAAAGAAAGAAAAGAGAAGAAAAGAAAAGAAAAAAGATAAGAAAGAAAACTTAAATATTTAACCCAATGCCGCAGGGGAAAATGAATAAAAAATGGGGAAAATGCTGTGCTCATTTTCTATATATTTGTGAAATGTCTCTGCACATAGATGGCTCTGCTTGTGCTTAGCCACAAAGGAGTCAGTTAGTAGACCTTGTGACCTTACGTGATTTGAATTGGTGGGAAAAACGTATTTCTTACTAGTGTTATGAATATCGATGGTGTTATTTTTATTATAAACATTATAATTACTGCAATATTATAAACATTATGAACAGCAAAATAAGATAACAAAATATTTTTTTTAAGAAAAGGGTAAATGCACGAGACAGACAGTACTCATAATTGGCTCATTGGTGACTTAGTATAAGTATAGCCATCTGTGTGTAAAAACAAACAAGCAAGTACTCAGAGTGGGCATAGCACGTACATACACGTCATGCCTGTCGGCATTGGGTTAAATGTCCCCCACATGTACACTCAGATACAGGAATTGATATCAATATTGCTTTTTCCCAGGCTTTGCACTCATTACTCTAACCCCTGTCAGTTAGATGTTAATAACCATTCCACATATCTTTACAGTATGGATACAGTCCCCTACTGCATGTCACAAAATTTATTCAATAATCTAAGTTGCCATGACTGGGAGTTCCCTTCGGTCACTAACCATGAGGAGGATTGATAACTACGAGAAATATTGTTACGCTGTGGATATTCGTCCGTCCGGATTTTTATGTAGGATATTTACACAAAGACTAAACTTAACAGTCTTATAACTACAGTATGCTGATCTGCTATGTTGATATTTATCATTTTCTAAGCACATTCAAACAAGATTGTCCAGCAGAAATAAGACCTGACATAACCTAACAACTTAACCTAACCTAACCTAACCACCTATCCTAATCTAACCACCTCACCTCACCTAACCTAACCTAACAACCCAACCCTCTGCTATCACCCTCTATCTACCTCTGCTATTTATTTTCCACACGGGGACATCTGAAAACAAACAAATTTGCCAAATAATGAGAAGCTGGAGATTATCAATAAAATGGCAAATAAAAATTGCATCCTGCAATATTGCTGGGAAAATAGCTCTACAGGATAGGTGTCCGACAGAAAATGCCAGAAAAATATCACAACAGAAATGAGATACAACAAAG